GAAAGCCTGGGGATCTGGCAAGTGAAGACGCATTTAGTAGCAGAAATGAAGTGCGTGCCTTCCAGTCACACAAGTTATATAAAGCCTTTGGCCAGACTGGAGACATCCCTTTGGAGATCATTAGTACTCTTTCTGTAACTTTGTGTCTTTCAGACTTAAGTTTGATTTTATACATTGGGAAATGTTCAAAGGCCTTTGTATGGATCTTTTATGGCTGTTTCCCAAAACTGCTCCTCAGGTTGTCTGACTGCTGGGGGCTTGTGCTTTCACTAGCTCCTTCCAGTATTGTTCTTTCTTTGAAGCAAGAACTGTGTAGAGCAACTGGCACCTTCTGAATGTGGGAACATCTTACTATCTGCTGATGATTTCCCTGACCTACTCCTCTGCTTTGTCCACATGCAGACTTTCTGCTGGGGACCTAATTTAAAGCAGGTATCAGGCAGTTCTGCTTTACTGGGGTCCCTACCAGAGTGGCTTGGCATCTTGGGCTGAGATGAAATGATTTTCTGCACCCTTTGGATTTCAGCTGCTCTTTACAGAGTTTGGGAGTTGTTCATGAGCTCTTGTTCATGAGCTGGTCCTCGAACATGCGTCAAATAACACATAAATAAATAGGAGAAAACACATTCCCCTCACCTCCACCCCAATAAAACCTGTTGTGTACAGCTTTCTCTTACATAACCCATCTGACTCCAAGAACAAATGTCCCTAATTTCTTCTGGATGGTAGGCTTTGTAGAGATTTAAAGGGCAATTTCTCTCTCTTCTCCTTTAGCTCTCACAAAGTATTACAATAAGGAACTGCAGTGACAGATGATACTTAAAGGCATGGTTTAGAAGTGATTCATCTGTGAAACATGGTGTAGCATATTTTATTGTATTTTAGCTAGTAAAAGCTGTGCATTTTAGCCCAGCTATATCATACTGCATGGTAAATTATATTTATAGGAATCCCAGCCACCATGCTGAAAATAAGTACTCTCTATACAAGAGTTAATGCAGTAGATTTGTACTTAGACATGTATTTGTAAAATATTTAAGCTGCATGAAAAGGGCATCTGTAGGAAGATATGATTACAGGATCACGTAAGTGCAGCACAGTGCTGTCATATTTTAAGGTTAAAGAGCTGTAATTAGGCACTGGTGGCTGTCACTGCATGCATGCATGGAGGGAGGGGAGCCCTTTCAAAGGCTAAGTGGGGCAGGAGAGAATGGGGAACAGCCTGAGTCTTGCATCTGCTGCCCCAGCTGCAAGGTGGCCCCAGACTGAAGGATGGTGTTTTTACTGCTTCTGGGGCCCTCCTGTATCATCTTCTTATGGCAGGAGAAAAAAAAGCTATGGGAAATGCTTTCTTGCGGTTCATGCTTTATGCCTGCCACTATCCAGGCAGGAAAGCACAGATGAACAGGAGATGCTCCTCTCAACTTTATAGCAGTAACTTGTCATTCCAGGGCTCCTACTGCTTTCCAAACTCACAAAGCGGTTTCCACAAGCTTTCCAACATATCTGGGCAGTGCCCTGTAGCCTCTTGGCACAAAGCAGTTCAGTCAGCTAGTGCAAAAGCTGTCAGGAAAGCAGAAAACCAGGGTATTGAACCTTACTGCAGAGCGGCTGACTTAGGCTTGCAGAAAGAAACACATCTCTGTACCGTGACCACAAAGCTCTACTGAGTCTTACGCAAGCCCATCTTCCTTAGACATGAGTCTGTCTTATTTTCACAGCACTAGCAGTTTTGCAGCCACAAGGAAAGGAGGATGCGTTCAGGTACTACAGTACAAGGTAGAGAACAGGGAATTTTTGATTGCTGGTGCCTATCCCTAAATCACACACAGACTAAATAAGCTCCAATTCACTGAAGCATTTTAGCAGCCTTCCACTGACTTCACTGAGCTCAAAGTGCATGTTTGAACTGAAGTGCATGCTTGAGTTTTGCTGACTCATACAGCAAATAAAGTATGCAGAGCTGGTCTTTAATATAACTTCATGTGAAAACTACACATTTCCCACAAAGCCTACTTCAAGTTAATTAATGGGCATTAAGGACTCCCATTTTCCTAGCAAAGAAGGGCCCCAAGGGATCGCAGCAATTTATGTTCATACCCTGAACGATACCAATACAACCTTCCCATGGAGACAAAGCCCCAAGCACTCCCTCTGTGATAACCAAGCACTTACATTTGATGGATGGGTTTCAGGCCTTCTGACACCACATGGGTCAGGAGGGAGGACCTGGCCTCTGACCCGTCCCTTTCATCCCTTCTGGCTGGAAGCGTGCCCATTGCCTCCCTTTGTTTGGGGGGGATGAGGAGTGTCTGCAGCCTGGGGAAGCAAGGAAGGGAGCGGAGGGTCTGCCTTCTTGAACTGAAGTTCCCCACATTTTACCCACTCGGACCAACTCCCATTGCTGTTGTTACAGCCTTCTCCACGAGCTTGACGGAACAAGGCTGTGATCTGTATCCACGGACATGCCAACCACAGGAAAGCCTGGCTGCTGATTCATTGAAGGAGCAGAGCCACATGAATCAGAGCAGTTGGGTGGGACAGAGGGAGGCAGGCCGAGTGCCACTGGGACTCCCAGTGCTATGGCAAGGCACCCCAGGGCTTCCTTAAGGTGGGACCGTCCCAGTGCAGCCCCTGCCGCAGGAGGGAAGGGAGTGTTCCATCGGGAAATGAAGATATAGTTCCCAAAGCGCGGGGAGCACAGCGGAAGCTCAGTGTTGCAATGCTGTTCTCTGGGTTACTGCTTTGGTGTCCCAGCTTTGTTTGTTTGTTTGCTTGAAGAAATGAACCTTGGTGGCTGTAGGCTGCACAGCTCAGGGCTTTCAAGGAAGTTGGAGGGAGCACCAGGCTGGAAAGACCCCTTTCATCAGCACGTGTGATCCCATGTGTCCCAGGCAGCCATTCCTATAGATTTATCAAGCTCCATCTTCAAACTACATAGATTGGCTAAGGGGTCTTTTTGTCCTTGATTTTTACCCCCCACTAGTGCTCTTCTAGGTCTGTTCAGAAGCTCACTCTGCTGGTGAGAAACTGTTTAACTTCCACTCAGGCTTATGTCAACATTGTCTGGTAGCTGTTTCCCTTCTTTCTATTTATCCTCCCAGGAATCATTGCTCAGCCCCATTCCCAGCCCTGTGTGGTCCTCCTTCAGCTGGAAAAGCAAGGGAAAAGGAGGATGTTGTTATGGGAAGCACTGGAGCAATGAAATTGGTGGTGCAGTAAGATGTGTACGAGGAGTGAGCCCAGGAAGGATGCACACTCAGAGCACAGGGCTGGGGGAGAGGGTTGTCTGAAGGAAAAGTCCTGTGTCCTCACCAGGTGAAGCCACCTCACACTTAGCCTTGAACCAACCATTTCCACAAAGGGGCTAAGAATGTGCTGCTGCTATGAGGAGCAATAAGACAAGGTCGGTCACACTGTGATATATTCTTTCATGAGGATGCGGAGTGCTTGAGCTGGACTTGAAGCACAGAATTATGTTCACCAGTTGTTAGCTCTTTGGCCTGGGGAAAGCCACATTTCAGCCTCTTTGTCCCCATCTGTGAAAAACAGGATAATAATAGCCAGTCAGCTCTCCCCCGGGTATTTCGAGGGTCAACGTCTGTAAAGGGTGTGGAACACTTAAAGCAATAAATAAATGCCGAGTATCATTATTATTAATCTTCCTGTGCCTCGGTTCCTCATTTGTAAACTCTCACCTAGTGCGTTTTGACTCCTGTTTCCCAGGGAGCTGTGCCCAAGGAGGTCTCAGTTGGAGACGAGCTCTTCAGCTTCTGCCACTTGTAATCATGGCCCGCTTGCAAAAGACCCTGGACGTGCTGAGAAGCTAAAGTGTTGATGTTTTGGAGGGTTTAAACCTATTGATGATGCAGATTATTACCAGTGTTGTGCTTCCATGTCATTGTTGCAGAAGAAAGCAAAGCTGGGTGCAAACACACCACTGTGCATGCATTCTTTTGGTGACCTGAGGCTTCCCCAGTGTCTGCTCTGGTCATGGACCCTTTCTGTCATATGGCTGAAGTCCAATTCTTTCTTTTTTTGGACATTTACACTTTCTGGTGTCAAGTTTATAGTCTTTATCCATTGGCTTTAAGCCCATTCATGGTATAACTGTTGACATCTGAACTGACTTCCAAGACAGAGCTGCAAGTGGCCTTGCAAACAGTTGTAGGCAACAGTTGTAATTAAAGAGTAGACAGAGCAAACAGAAACCACAATAGCAGCCTGTAGGAGTTATGCTGCTTTAATGCGGAGAAGCCCTTAGGGCCATATCAGTGCTTACAAGGGCTTGTTGTTGGTTTCATCTCCTCCCACCTCCCTCCCCTCTTCTGAAAGGGACAAAACCAACCCTTTTCCTTAGGGAAGGCCAAGGAGCTGGTAGTGTAAGAAATGCCATGTGCCTATTTGACAGTGGCTCAAAGGGCCCTCCTGCAACAGAGATGGGACAGAGCTGATTCATCCCCCTTCCACAAAAGGATCCCCAGGGCAAGAACATCCATGTGGACCCTGAGCATCAGCCATCTCACTGGGGTGGGAGGTGGAACAAGCTGAAGGAGACCAAGACATGGGAGGGTATTGCTAGGGGTGGATCCGCTGGCCCCAGAATCCTGAAAGGGTGTTTACAGCAGAAATTATCTACACCAGGATTTGGTTGCAGGTTAGTTTATCTCACATTAAAATAACCCACAGCCACCACTTTGCTTTGTCTCGGTGTGGATCATTTGACGGTTTGGTGCATGCTATTAAGCACACTCTGGAGGTAAGTCTGCTCAAATTTGCCTGCAGCAAGAATGAAGCCAATGCCAAAGAGAACCCACACCCTTTTGCTCCTCAGCTGGAAGCAATGGTCCCATCACCTATGTGGTCTCCTGCTGTAAGATCTCCCAGAATGGGGATCACTTTTCCATTTAAAAGGAAGTTCTCAAGCAAGTGTGGTTTTCTCTGTGTCCAGGTCCTGGGTGATGTTTTTTTGCAGAGAATGGACCCACAGGGCTTTATCTTCAAGCAAATGCATCCAGTGTGGCTGGGAGCACAGCCAAGGTGCTGTGGGAAAGCAAAGGAGTTTAAAATATGTGGTAAGAATGGGAAAGGTAATAATGGGATTTGTGGGGCTGTGGGAACTGGGAATGCTCCTGTATAGGATATTTTGGTATTTCCTATCCTTTCCTGCATCCTGGTTTTCCCAGGACATGAGGCATCCCTGCTTTGAACCCATTCAAAATGTGAAGCTGATTTTCAGACTCTTCACAGGGATTTAATTTTTGTTCTGTTCCTGCTGGATTCTATTTATTTTTGCAGTGCCTCCTATTGCCTGTTTCCTCTTGAATTTCCAGCTGATTTTTTATTTGTGATTCCAGAAAAGGAACTTGGAAGATTAAAGGGGTGCCTTGTAGAGGGTGTAATTTCACCCACTCCTGCGGTAGCATATGGCATCTTTCAGGAGAGCAGAGGTGAACCTCCTTTTCCAGCAGCACTGCAGGTTTAGGTTGGTAACCACTTTTGATTGATAACCACTGGGTCAGAAGAATAAGAAATGCAAGTAAAGGGAGCAGACTTCATGAGACCTAAGCCTGTGGATGGAAAGCTGAGTAAAGCCATGGGTTTGTAGCTGGATGCTGATTTGCATGTCTGCTTTGTGCTGCTCTAAGGAGGTGCAATTTTGCTTCTGCACACTTCTTAAAATACAGTGTTGTCAACTTTGCAGCTGGTTCAAAGTGTGGGGAAGGGTTTTGTGGGTTTCAGGTCTGTATGCTTATCTGCCTCGTCTAAAGCCTCACTGCCCTCTTACAGTGAAATAAACCCTGTATCTGGTGAGCCACGTGTCACTTCAGTTCTCCCTGATATCTCCTTGCTCTCTTAATCTAGCAAAGTTGGTTTCTTGAGCTTAGCTTGTTTGTCAAGTGAAGCATCATACACTGCCTGGAGCCAGGATGAAACTCTGGAAATCAAGTATTTTGCATGCTGCTGCTTCGGAAAGCTCCATTTACTTGGGATGAGTTATTCTGAAGTAATAGTTTTCTTTTCTGTTTATTTTCCCTGACAGATCTTCTGCTTCCCCCATGCCCTGTCATATTAAACCATTTATGCTACAAAGTAAGCAGCTTGCGTCTGCCCTTGTGACTTCACTGGAACTGGTTGCTTATTCCTATCGTGCTTCTGCCAGCAAGCGCTTCAGCAAGAGAAATGATAAACTACCCACTGCAGCTACTGCACTTCAGTGCCGAATCGTAAGTGAAATCACATCCTCATTTTAGGTTAATGGTCTGATACGTGAATGCTGACAGCTCTCTTTGAGTCCCATCTTGTGCAACGCTGCAGTGTCCAGAGCACGGTGTGAGCCTGAAGGAGAATGCCTCCTTTTCAGGAGTGAGCTCAGCAGTGGTGCCTTTCGGCAGAGGCTGTGAGGGTGGTGTCACCACTGAGCACAAACACAAGCTGCACCCAGCCAGGCAAGAAAAGCAGATCCTGAAATCCAACCAACTCATGCCTGAGGCCACCTCCTCTGTCTTGCTTCTGTGGGCTGCAAAGAAACATTCCTTAATTCACAAGTGGTGTTTGAAGCATCCTCCAAACGTTAGTTTTATATCACTTCCACAGCACTGGAAGTGTTGTGGAACACAAGGCTTCCTTCATAATGTTGTTTTTGTTCTAGACTACCATATCTGAATGTCTCTTCAATCTATTATCTCTTAAGCAAAGAATTACTCATGGGACTATCTTTTTTTAGTTTGTCTTGAAGGCAGTCCCTGTTACTCCACAGCATGGAAACCAAGTGGGGAAAGTAATCTGTGCAAATTACATGCGCGTTTCTGGTTGAATCATGTTCCCTTCACTCATGGTAATGAGTCACTTGGCATAAAGTAGACTGTTACTATGAATGGAGAAAGCATATCAGGGTTCTGCTTCTCAAGAATCATTTCCAGTTGCTGAACCTCACTCAGGCTTGGAATCATAAGGGGTGAGATTGTCACTGGTATAGCAGGGGAGAATTGATCCCAGACTCTTTAGCCTTTGATGCGGAGGATAAGGTTCAAGAGCAGCCATCGAAGCTGTCTTATGCAGTTCCTAATTACTGCCCATGTAGTCATCTTCCTCTGGGAATACCGAAACTAAACAAAGAACTGACCTCGGTGAAGAGGAAGGCAGAAGTGAGTCTTATCCCGTATGCAGCATCTGAAGCGCAGTGCTCAAAATGCAGCCTGCCTAGCCAAGGGGGACTGATTACTGCACAGTCATCAGTTTTCTCACAACCAGTCCTGTTTGTATGGAACAGAGCACCCTAAATTACATTGTCACTCTGGAAAATCTCATTTTCTTGTATTTTTCCCTATATAGTAATCATCCCAATGACCAGATAGTGTAATCTGGTGCATAGACCAAAAGTAAGGGTGTTGGAGAGCTTGGACTTGCTGCTCACAGGATCATAAGCAATACTGCAAAAGAAACTCCCATGGGCAAAACATGCTATGCTCCCACCCCCTGACCTACACAGGATTACAATGCTTCTTCACTAGAATACATAATTCTTATTTATTATAGTGGAAACAGGCAACTGACACTGAAGTATTATGACACCACCAATTGATAGTCAAATGACAGGTTGCAATGTCACCTTCTTACAAGAATAACTATTCCAAATTATAAGGGTAGTGAATTGAAATGCAGCCTTTATAAAGATGCCTAATTTCATTTTTAAAGCTCCAAGTGATGGTGAGCCCCCTATCTTTTCAAGTAAGGTGTTAATTGCCCTTACTGTTAGGATAGTGCACCTTATTTCAAATTGTTGGGGTTTTTTTTCTTAATCTAATGGCATTGACTTGCTGTGTGACCTTGGATGAGAAGGGATGGATCAGTTGTTTCAGGCTAAATTGATCTTGGAATTTATGTAGTAATATACCCACTCTGGAGAGCCTCCAGGGTTGTTTTAAAGGGGTGAACCCTGGATGGAGTTTCAGATTCAGTTCTTATTTTTTCTGTGTGCTTTGTGGGTGTTGCTTTGCATTGTCATTAGCTTAGGGTTTAAATTTTGTTAGCAGGTGACCTGAGCTCTGTCTGTGCAACAGCAGGTAAGATGCGTGATCCGGCCTGTGCCTCCTTGCTGTGGCAGTATTGTTTCCAGACTTAGGAAGAGCAGTGAGGATGAATCTCTGTGTGCTTTTGCAGTTGTGATGCCATGGTAAGCACAAAAGACAATAAAAGCCACAGTCATGGTTTCACCAAAGCTGTATGCTTGTTAGAATACTTGCTGAGAAGAAATAAATACAGTCTGAATGACAGCCCAGGTGAACCGTCACACATCTGTCATCAGAGTAGCATTTAACTAATTAGGAGATAAATGATGATGCCATTAAGAGTATATTGAGACCAGGGAGAAATGTACCAGTGTTGATGGAAATCACATAAAATAACAGTCACTGAAATAGCTTGTCAGGTCTACACTGCTTTCAGCGTGACTTAACATAGGGGAGCCCCTAAGCTTTAAAGAACCATCTTTCTAACCTGATCTAGACAAATTACCTTTGTACCTTGATCTAAACAAACTCTGATCTCTCTGCTGCCATTGAACTCACCTTGTCTGAAACCTAATCTGACTACTTTATTCTACCTCTGTGCTGGGAATTCACTCTATCATTAGCATTTCAATCTATTTAATTCACTGAGGGTCGCTGAGCAATGTAACTGAATCCATGCTAAGCTACCACTGGCAATTTAGCTGTCAGATAGTCTCACCTGCTATTTTTAGTTGCACTTAAATGCCTTGCTTAAGGGGGTGCACACTGAATTTCTGGATTAGCTTCCCCCTGACCCCTCTGTTGTATCGCTGTCAGTCATTTTTGAGTTAGAGTCCTGGTTACATTGTTCTATTATACTAATTACAGCTTGTCAAAGGTATGGACAGTGTTCTTGGACACTTGTCTACAGGCCTGTGACTCTTGGGATTAAGCCCTTGTGATTAGAGCTGCAAGTAGTCTTTATCTCTGCAGTAAAGAAAGGCTTTGCTAAAACCAGCTTTTTTAAATTGCAAAGCCAGCACCTCCAGAATCTTAAGACCTTATGCTTTAGGATAGTTGGTCAGTCTCACTTTTGGCTCTCCACAAGGTGCTTTATAGTGCCTGATCCTTATGCTTGGGTAGGGGAGGAATAGCATTGCCAAGGTTCATGCTTTCAGAGGCAGGGGGTTAGAATAAGGCATGCAGCTGTATGGTTTCTGTTTGAATTATTTCAAGCAGCTGTGCTCCCTGGCCTGCTGTGTCTTTCACTTCTTTTCTCTTGCACAGATTCCACTGCATCTTATTCTTGTGTTTACTCTCTCCTGCCACACAGCTCTCTACGAGCTCTAGGTTCTAATGACCTCCCTAGCAAGCACATGTGCTGTGGCATATATTTAGTTTTGAACCAGCTTATGGCTCTTCTTAGGTGCACTTCAGGGCAGGAAGCAATTTGTTCTTGTTAACAAAGCTGTGTACATGTGCACACCCCGCCTGTGTTGGCTACAGTTTGGTTGCCTATTGAACCTGCTTTAGCCTCTATATTTGAGTCATCTTGAAGTATAATTAAGAAATTGACAATGGTAAAACATGTACATAGGCAGAAAGCAGGATTTCTTGGAAGTAAAACAGGCAGGCTGGACATTTATGTAGTAACATTCATCAGTAAGCTTACTAAATGATAGTCTCTCACTGATTATTTCTCTTGCCCTCTGGAGATCAGACTTCTTTTTCACCTTTTCAAACGAAGTTGCAAGCTTCTCTGAAGTCAATAATTCAACTTTATGGGAAAGAGAGAGATTGCAGCCCTGTAGGGTAAATGCAGGATGGTGATAGCATATCACAGAATATTTGACTCTAAGGTCAGAGGCTTGGCTTCACTAGCTCTATTGCAGATCTGCCCTGTGACTTTGTGGTAATTTCTCTTACCTTCTCCAGGCTTCAGCTCCCATCCAGCCTTTGAGTTCTGGTGCTGTAATGCATGCTCAGCACCTGCAGCAACTGAGCTGCCAGTGTGGGGCTGAGCAAGGCTGCTTTGGGGGCTGAAGCTCTGAGGTAAGCAATACAAGACTGCCTTCCTTCCTCTGACTCCAGCTTTACCTGCCACTGCCTAAATATCTTCCTGTGCAAGTGCCGTGCAAAGACAAGTAAAGAGCTCCCTAGGAGGATCATTGCTGGGGATGAAACCGGAATGTTCGTCAGGAGCCTCAGTAATACCCAATTCAGATTGCTGATGAATACATCCTGACTTTGGGCACATACCTCCTGTTAATACTAATGGGAATGTCACACATGAATGCTGGAGAATATTGCCCATTATTTTTGGTCCCAGAGCTCTGAGCTGAGAGATTCCCTGAGAAAAATGGCCATTTGCTGTATGTTGCAGGCTTCAATTCATTATATACAGTGCATGGTGGCTGTTATTTACCTTACAGAACTGTAATGTGATAAGGAGTCTATGTAAGCCACTTAATGGTCTGTCTACCTTAAAGAAAATGTGCACCTGATCAGCATCTGATTTATGCCACTTTCATCCCAGTGCAACTCTACTGGCTTCAGTGGTGTTATCGCTGATTTATGCTAGTCTTAGTTGGACTTTATGAGTTTATGTACTTTATATGACACATGTACATGAGGAAAATGTAGTCTAATAAAATACCTGGCTGTGGATCGTAGCCGAAGGTTCTTCGCAGTCCTGTTAACAGGGGTGCTACAAAACCATGTTCTGCTCCTCTGCAGTGCCTGTATATTTCAAGGAGTTATATCCTGTATCTATAGAGATGTAACTTAATGTCTTATACTTGACTAATGTGCTGCCTTCTCGGCATGGTGGAGTGTTAGAGCTACCAGCAGGCAGAGTAAACCTGTAGGATGAGAATAAGAATTTGACTGTGGTAATTGGGACATTCTTATTTTGTACTTGGCAGAACAAGTTCCCTGCCTAAAACCAAACAAACTTCCCACAGATTGTGTCTTTTCACTCTGAAAACAACTGTTCTTATCGCAATCATCTAGCTGCATCAGCACTTATTTTCTAGCTTTGGGGTGGGAAAGCAGTCCATTTATGATGTTTATATTGCAGTAAGAGCCAGGGCACGGTCTCAGATGCAGGACTCCTTGTTCTACAAAATATGTAAACAGATGGGGAAACTGCTCCCCATCCTGATGATCCTGTGCTCCCATTCATGGAGGCCTCTCTGATAACTGCGGCAGCTTTTATCACATGGCCTTGTGTGCATGGGAAGGGATCCTTCCTCAAATCTCTGGAGCTGGAGCATCAGTCTGGGGTTGTTGGAGAGAGATCCATTACCACCACTGGATTCCAGGTCAGCTTACCTGGTACTGGATTCT